TGGTACACCTGCTTGAGTCCCTCCTCCAGCTGGCTGTTGCTGCCGATCTGATTGGATGCCACCAGCTGCTGCATCTGCTCGACGACCGGCTGGATGTTGGCCAGTAGCTGCAGTCCCTCGGGTAGATTCTGAAGATGGTGGGAGAGAGACGTCATCATCGCCGAGATCCCGTTCACGGCGTTGAGGGTCGCTGCGCCGTCGACGAAACCCTCTTTCTCCTGAAGCATCTGGATGGTCTTCTCCGCCGTGGCAGCGGCCCGACGGGCTGCCTGAGCCGCCGACTCGGGCCGTTCGGCTGGAGCACCGCCCTCCTGCTCCCGAGGCGTCCACTCCAGGCGGTAGCCGCACAGCCCGCACTTGAAACCTCGCCCGTGCTGATTTCCGCATGGCTGCCTCCGGTCTGCGGGATGGTCGCACTGAGGAGGCGGCTTGTAGGGAACCTTCGATGCCTTCGGCATGGGCTTCTGTATCTGCGGATGCTGTTGAGGCCAGCTCGGCCGTCCGCAACCTCCTGAGCTCGCGGCTGCTGCCCCTGGCGCTGCTGTGGCTGCGCCCGAGCTGCTGCCGCTGCTGGTGCCGACCCAGTGGTTCGAGACCGCGGCTGCTCCCGTCTCCGGCTGATACGCTCCCGTCTCGTTCTCCATCCCGTTGGTCAGCTCCTCGTATTCTTGCTGGACCCGACGAATCTGCTCTCGGAGCTGGCGGGCCCGTTCCTCCTTTGACGGGAGGTCGGGTGGAGCTTTCTTTGGTCCTCCGTGGACCACGCCCGCGGTGCTGAGAAGCATCAGCGTCGCCAGGACTAGAGGCATTGTCCTGTCTCTGATCTTGACTGGAAAGAGAACCGATACTCTCGGGGTGGTCGATGCCGGAAAGCTTCGAGCCGAGAAAGGCTACGGAGGCAAGAGCCGTGATCCATTGAGGAATACGGCTCCTATGGAGTGACATCCTGTTTCTCGACAGGGTCCGAGTTATGGCCTCAGCCTTGACGAGCTCCCTCCGGATCACCTTAGTGTGACGGAACCCCGCTAAGCCCCGATTTGGTTCTGCTAGGCCCTGCTGAGCCCGGGACTGACCCTGGCACTGCTCTGTCCTCGAGAGGTCCTCGCAACTGCTCTCGAACTCCGTCGAGTATATCCTTAAGTGGCCTGTGAGGCCGAGGACGTTCTCCGCGTCGTCTATCCTTGTGTACTCCTCGCAAGCGTCCCCCTGGAGGTCTTCGGGGTCCTCGTGATCTGTGGTCTGCTGGGCCTCTGGGTCCTTGAGGTGGGCCTTGAAATCGGAGTTCCAGGGGTCCCTTCTATGGGACCGGGTTCTTCTTAACGCGATACTCAGACCAAGGGCACATGAGATGATGAGATAGATGTAGTGCCCCACGACACCCGTGTCTGACATGCGCTGCACCGGGCCGCCAGAATATTCGAACGAATTGGCTGCGAGGAACGGCCACCTCTGAAGCGCTCCGGCTGGTACAGAGGCTCCTGGCCGAAGGGTCCTCACGATGTCGGCCATTCTATGGCCTGATCCTAGCTTCGTGAGCTTTGTCGTCTCTCCGATCCTACTGGACGCCAACGTATTCTCGGGTAGGTCCAGAACACAGCCCAAAAAGTCTAGAAGATTGACGCTGATGATGTGGGGGACGTCATCGGCTAGCACTGCTGTCTCGATTATTCCGAGAACTCCGAAAAGACAGAGTGGAAAGAGAATGCTGGCTACTACCTTGGCCGGCCCACCAACGCCGTGGGCGGCGACATGTCGTCTATGCTCGGCCGGAACTTCAACATATCTGAGACCGTGCTCTGCTAGTGCTTGTGACTCTCGATTCAGAGCCTGGACGCCGACGAGATCACTCCCTGCCCCAGGGTCTACCAGCCCTTGGCACGGAAGCGATACCAGGAAGGCGTCATCCTCCTTGATCTCCCGATGAACGGCCCTCCAGATCTCCATCGCCTCCGGACTGAGCACCTTGTCGGTCGATGCCATGCCGTTGAATGCATATGCCGCCATGCGTCGGTCTGCTCCGGCGTTCTTCGGGCACTCCCGACTCCAGTGGCCCTTTTGGTTGCACGTCCTACAGCGGGTCACCTTCATCTTCTGCTCCAGGGTGAGCGTGGGTCTGCGCCTGAACCGATCTCCTCGACGGCCGTCGCCTCGACCTGCACCCTTGGACGGTGGAGACGGGCGCTCCACCTTGGGTTTGTCGGTAGCTCCTCGTGGTCCGGCTGCTGGGCGTCGTCCTCCGTAGTATTCTCGGTCGCGCTTGGCAGCGCGCTTGAGATCCTTGTTCTCCTTCCAGGAGCGTCCCGCCGGGCGGGCCGCGAAAGCCTCGAGGGCGGCGTCCAGCTGATCCTCGTAGAGGTCGAGATCCTCGAGCTCCTCGAGAAGGACAGCTTCGTCCTCGAAGTCGTCGTCAACCTCCTCCTGGTCCGTGGAGCCGTCGCCTGTCTCCTCACCACCTTCGAACCTACCAGCGGGGAACGAGGGAGTGGAGGAGGGAGGCTGAGAGGCTGCTGTGGCACGCTCGTCGTCACCGGGCTCTTCGGCCGCGGGACCTGCTAACAGTGTGCCTGTAGAACGGCCTGGAAGAAGCCTCTCAGAACTGGTTGCGTCCATCTGCCTGAGGGCCCAGGACACGCTATCGTAGTCCAGGCGTCCGTGAGTCAGGGTTCTGAGATTTTGCTGACCCTGAGCAGACAATCCGGCGCCTTCCTCTAGAAGCAATCCCTTCAACTTTGGGCTAAACCACATGTCGTGCCCCTCTGCCTCGGTCAGCTGCGCCTCACGGCGGATCACATACTGAACCAGCGTCTCTCGAGGCTCGCGTGCTGCTTCATATAGAGCTCGGCGCCCAGCACGTCGTAGGTCGTCGCCCTCACGCTCTCCAGCCATGGTGTCCATGCGGCGCAGGATGACCTCCAGCCACGAGGCGCTGTTGAGCGTACTCTCGGGTATATCCTCGAACTTGGCCTGGAGGTTCCAGTCGAAGAGCTTGAACAATTTTTCAGCCCTGCGCCATGTCGCTACGTCGGCATTCTGATTCCATCTGCGGATAGCACGGCTCCACTGTCGATAGTGTCCGAAACCAGGCCAAGGCGGCGGATCAGAGTAGTCGCCTTTGCCGCCACCGGCGGCCCATCCCCACCAGTCGCCGGCACTGGTGCCAAAATGGCCCCTGCTGCTGCCAGTCCAGTGCTCCCAGGCCTGGTTCGTGCTGTCGCCCTGATCGCCCCCCTGCTGCCGTTCGGCGCCTCCCCAGCGCCAGCCGGCAGCGTCGGACCAGTTCCACGGGTCCTCCTGGCGATCTCCCTTGGCACTGCTGTCGGCCCAGCCGTGCAACCAGGGATCTTCTGCTGCTGTCGTGGCCGCGGCCACCGGCGTCTGAGACGATGATGCTGCTCCCATAGTCTCGCGGACTACTCCCACGATCATCTCTTTCAGCTGCGCCGGTGTGACCGCTGCCAGCGTGTCCCCTGCGGCTGGGCTCGCTGGAGCCTCGGCTGGGGACTCTTTCTCCTTGCCGTCTCGCGTCGTCATCCGTGGATCTCCACGCCAGTCGGACCTGGAAGCGAGGTCCTCGCTCCGGGCGCTCGAGAGCTTCCTGGACAGCGCCTCCTCAGCGCCGCGCCGGAGCTCCCATGGGCCTGAAGCGGGGTCACCCCGCTCCGCTACCAACTGTGGCAGCAGATCGCCCCTGGGATGTTTTTCCCTTGAGCCAGAACGCGAAACGGTCGGACTCTCCAAACGCTGAACCTAGGGATTAAAATCTGGATGGCATTCACATTGGGCCGTCTTGGGACCCTCTTGGCGGCCTCTTGGGCGATCCGAACCCAGCAAAGGTAAGAACGTCAAACACCTACGAGAATCAACAGGACATGTAACAGCCCCGCCGCCTCAGAGATGGTCCTGGACGGTTTGCGTGGCTGCGGCATTGGACGATACCCGATAGCACCCAGTCGTCCAAACATGGCTTCAAGGCAGCCCTCGGAGACTCGAAAACGCCACTCGAGGGGTTCTTGAGGACCCCCCCCGAGGGCCCCAACAGGCCAACATTGGCACACGCCTTGACGAGAAACTAGTATGTCGGCAGACGCGCTTGGACGCCCCGCCCAGCGACCCGAGACAGGAACAGATCGGCTACACGCAGGAGGAGGAGGAGGAGGAGGAGGAGGAGGAGGAGGAGGAGGAAGAGGAGGAGGGGGAGGGGGAGGAGGGAGGAGGAGGAGGAGGAGGAGGAGGAGGAGGAGGAGGAGGAGGAGGAGGAGAGGAGGAGGAGGAGGAAGTGAGAGTGACCCTGGGTAAGAGTGACCTTTGGTGCGCGACTGTTGGGGGGCCGCGGGGGGGCCAAACACAAGCGCGCAAAACGCCACTACCTGCGCGGTCTCCTCCGGGGCCGTAGGCGACCGGAGGAGGAGGAGGAGGAGGAGGAGGCGGAGGAGGAGGAGGAGGCGGAGGAGGAGGAGGGAGGAGGAGGGGGTGGAGGAGTAGGAGGAGAAGGAGGAGAAGGTGGACGGGTCGCCTAAGCCCGTCGGAGGTCACTCCAGCGAAAGGTCACTCTTACGTCTAGTCGAGCAGAGGCGCCAAGGAGGGCCCCACGACGGCTCCCGGCGGCCCCAGGGCGGCCCAAGAGACACCAAAGGCAGCCCAAGACGACTCCGAGACGGGCCCAAGACCGCCCAAGCTGGCCCTTGATGGCCCAGCACTGGCCCGACCTGCTCCTCCTCCTTCTCGTCCTCCTCCTCCTCCCTCCTCCTCCTCCTCCTCGTCTTCCTCCTCCTCCTGTTCCTGTTCCTGTTCCTGTTCCTGCTCCTCCTCCTCCTCACCCCGCTTGCGCGTGAGCCCCAAGTGCAAGCTTCGATCGGTATGCATGGGCTTCTCGAGGGAGAAGCGCCTCAAGAAGGCACAGGTGGCTGTTCTGGCCAAGGTGCTTTCGGGGTGCCACCCCAAAACGGGCGCGTCGCTCGTCTCCCCACCCCTCCCCGCTTCCTCGTCCTCTCCTCCTCCTCCTCCTCTTCCTCCGCCGCAGGAGGTGCAGGGTGAGTCCCCCGCCGCCTACCATTCGGTAGCGGCGCGTGGGAAGCCAAGCTTCAAACTCAAGTTGAAAAGAGAGGCAGCTCCAGGTTACCACGGACCTGCAGAAGGTTAGTCTCCTTTCTGTGTCCCAAGCTGCGCCAGGGCACCGCTTCTTTCGGATCCTGAGGTTCGGAGACACCGAGCCCGTAAAGGCAAGAGGCAGATGACCGATCTTACGAGGAGCGAGGAGGAAATTGAGCAGGACGCGGGGCTGTTCGAACGTGGCGTCGCGCGCACACTTCACGACGCCTGCGGTGCTCGCAAGGGTGCTGCCCAGGAGTTCTTCCCAAGTGTGCCAGATTGCGTTCATATAATCTATCCTAGCATTAGGTCGGGCCTGTCCCCCCGCAGGGGGATTTGGATAACGAAAAATGCCCCAAAAATGCTCAAACAAAATCAAAAAATCGTCCCCTGACTATTCTTCTACTATTTTTGCATCTTCCCCCTGTAGAGGAACACGCCCGACTCAGTCCTAGCGCAGCCGTGCTAACAGGATGCGACAAAAACTCGGCCCAAGCGTGCGGGCTCGCCTCCGGCACGCGCTGCAATTCGAGCGCTTTTGATGTCGTCGGCGTCCCGCTGCACGGCCCGCCCATCTCCCCTCCCGTATCATTCCGGTGCCCCTCCCCTCGACGGTGGACAAAAACCTCCCTTTAGTAAACCTCCCCTCAGTGAAAACGGCCTGTGGCTGAAACCGACGGACCTGGACCCGCAAAAATGACGGCCGCGACGCCCTCTCTCGAACCGAAAGCGGCCAATTCCTGTCGACGTCAGGGTAGGAGGTCTATCAACCTCCTATCCCCTTAACTTTAGGTCGGGCATGTCCTCCTCCAGGTGGATTTTGGACGAAGACTACCAGATAGCCAACAACTACTAACAGATAGTCAAGAATAGTCGGAAAATCGTCCCCATCCAATTTTTGGACTATCTTTGGACATTCCTTCTGTAGAGGGACATGCCCGACTTAACCTTCGCTTCGTGAACGTGTCGGTTTGTTTTCGCTGCACTTCACGCTGCCGGCGCCGCGTGGCTTCGACGAGCCTTCCCAGGCTCACTCCGAGCGTGCTTACTCACACTGTGGAGCTCGTCGCTGTGCCAAAGATGTTTCCAGGAATCTCATTCCAAGCGTGACAGCTCGCGGGCGGAGAGCATCCTGTTGGCTGGATTCCTGCGCGCATCTCCTTGCCTGAAGGATCGGCCGGAGCCGGCTGGGTGGTGGGCGAGCGTAATTCCCTCACACTTACTTCTTTATGATGCATGTGTGATGAACCCAGGAGAGCCCATAGTCGAATCGATAAGTCGGATCGGCGATCGAAATTAATCGGATCGGCGGAAATCGGCAGCCGAGTCGGGAAAAATCGGATCGGCGGAAATGATGCATGTGTGATGAACCCAGGAGAGCCCATAGTCGAATCGATAAGTCGGATCGGCGATCGAAATTAATCGGATCGGCGGAAATCGGCAGCCGAGTCGGGAAAAATCGGATCGGCGGAAATCGGCAGGCTACTGTGCGTCCCATAAGAAGTCGGAATCCGAATCGGAATCCCAAGTCGAATCGAATCGGAATCGGAAGCCATCGAAATCGAATCGAATCGAATCGGAGGAGTCGAAATGAGCCCTGTGAACCCGTGGAAACCTTGCTGCACTCCCTACTAAAGTCGCCGACCCCTTGGGGTCACGGCGCGTGAGATGCTTCCCCCTCTCCAAACCCCTCCCCATAGTTGAAGGGGCCCCAGGACACACAAATAAATACAGACAAATAAACAGATTCCCCATATGTTCCCATATGTTCTGGATTTTTTGTCTTCCCCCCCACTTCCGATATTTTCCCATATTTTCTGGGAAATCGCCGATTAATTGTGTCTGTGTGTTTCTTTCCCTCCTGAACCTTGCTGCACTCCCTATAAAATTCGCCGACCCCTTGGGGTCACGGCGCGTGAGGTGCTTCCCCCTCCGCAAACCCCTCCCCATAGTGCCAGCCGCGCCCCTGGAGCCTCCTCCCCCTCCTCCTCCTCCTCCTCCTCCTCCCCTCCTCTCCTCCTCCCTCCTCCTCCTCCTCCTCCTCCTCCTCCTCCTCCTCCTCCTCCTCCTCCTCCTCCTCCTCCTCTCCTCCTCTCCTCCTCCTCCTTCCTCCTCCCTCCCTCCTCCTCCCTCCTCCTCCTCCTCCTCCTCCTCCTCCTCCTCCTCCTCCTCCTCCTCCTCCTCCTCCTCCTCCTCCTCATCCTCCTCCTCCTCCTCCTCATCCTCCTCCCTCCTCCTCCTCCTCCTCCTCCTCCTCCTCCTCCTACCCCTCCTCCCCTCTACCGTCCTCCTCCCCTCCCTCTCTTCCTCTCCGCCTCCTCCTCCTCCTCCTCCTCCTCCTCCTCCTCCTCCTCCTCCTCCTCCTCCTCCTCCTCCTCCTCCTCCTCCTCCTCCCCCTCCCCAAAATGGGCCAAGAGACCTGGACGGTCCCAGCGGACTACGAGTCGCCGAGAGGTCGCTCCCAGACGCCTAACATTGCCTCCAGGCGGCCCCAGAGGCCCCGAAGACGCCCCAAGAAGCCACCAAGAGGCGTCCCAAGAGACCTTCAAGAAGCAGAAATCGTCCCAGTCCCAAGGGAAAGCGTACATGTTTAGCACAATCGCCTCTTGGCCGTTCACGAAGCCCACAACGGCCCAAGAAGCCTTCGAAGATCGACCGCAGACAGCCCAAGAGGCTCCCAAGAAGGCTCCAAGACGGCCTCCCAGGGCCCCACGGAGGCCCCAGAAACCACCACAACGGCCCAGGAGAGCCCCAGGACGGCCTCAAGCAAGAGGGCCCAAAATGGGCCAAGAGGGTTCCAAAAGGCCTCCTTAACGGCCCACGATGCATACGAGTCGTCGAGAGATCGGTCCAAGACGCTCAAGATTGCCTCCCGACGGCCCCACAGGTACCCAAGGCGCCCCAAGAAGCCAACAGGAGGCGCCCCAAGAGGCCCTCCAGAAGCAAAAAACGTCCCATTCTCGAAAGGAAACGTACATTTCCAACACGTTCGCCTCTCGGGTTTTCACGAGGCCCACAACAGCCCAAGAAGCCTTCGAATATCGACCCAAGACAGCCCAAGAGGCTCCCAAGAGGGCTCCAAGACGGCCTCCGAGGGCCCCACGGAGGCCCCAGAAACCACCACAACGGCCCAGGAGAGCCCCAGGACGGCCTCAAGCAAGAGGGCCCCAAAATGGGCCAAGAGGGGCCCACAAAGCCCCGCCGACGGTCCCAGAGGGCCACGACTCGTGAGGAGATCGCACCCAGACGCCTGATATTGCCTCCAGACGGCCCCAGAGGCCCCCTAGACGCCCAAACAAGCCACCATGAGGCGTCCGAAAAGGCCCTCAAGAAGCAGAAATCGTCCCAGCCCTAAGGGAAAACGCATATGTCCAGCACATGCGCCTCTTGACCGTTCACGAGGCCCACAACAGCCCAAGAAGCCTCCAAGATCGACCCAAGATAGCCCCAGAGGCCCCCAAGAGGGCTCCAAGACGGCCCGAGGGGTCGGGGGTGCGCCATAAGCAAATTATCACAGTCTTGTTTGGCTTACGGTGAGTGGGAGCCACATCGAGGGTCATGGTGGGGCACCTCCTCCACAGGCTCCCGAGCCTCGCTTCAGCTCCCGAGCCCGCCTCGTCCTCCTCCGAAAGGCCGGAACCGAAACTGGCTCCCGAGGCCCGTTTCGGCTCGGGCCCGCTGCGGCCTCGTCCACTCCCTCTGGCTTCGGCCCGTTCGTCCCAGCCCGTTCCTGCCCGTTTCGTCGCGGTGCGTTTTTGCTTCGGCCGGTGTCGGTTTCGGCCCGGCTCGGCGTCCTGGCTCGAGCTCGCAACCGGGCCGAGAAGCCCGAAGCCGAAACGGGCGGAGCCGAAGCGGGCCGAAGACGAAACGAGCCGCAGCCGAAACGGGCGCAGCCGAAACGGGCCGAAACGGGCCGAAGCCGAGACGAGCCCGAAGCCGAGGCCGAAACGGGCCCGAAGCCGAATCGGGCCCCTGCCCAAAACGGGCTCAAGACTGTCTAAGGTGGCCCCCAGAACGGTCCAACACGGGCCGCACCCGGCCCACGAGGGCCGACAACAAGGCCCGCAGGGCGCCGCGGACGGCCCAGGAGGGCCCCCCCTGAGGCTCAGTAGGGGCTCCAAGAGGGCTCCCTGAGAACCCCTCGCGGGGAGCCCGAACGAGCCCAGACTGACGCAGTCCTTTTCAGAACGCCGACGTGCTTGGCCAACTCTGAAGGGGCCCTGGGACACACAAATAAATACACACAAATAAAAAGATTCCCCATATTCTCCCATATTTTCTGGGTGTTTGTCTCCCCCCCCCACTTCCCATATTTCCCCATGTCTTCTTGGGAATCCACGATTCATTGTGTCTGTGTGTGTTTTTTCCCTCCTGAAATTCGCCTGGGGGCCTGGCCAGCAACCCCCCAAGCGGGCCAAGAGGCCTCCGCGGAGGGCCCCACGGCGGCCCCCGGCGGCCCTGGGGCGGCCCAAGAGGCACCAGAGGCAGCCCTTAAGAGGACCCCGAGACGGGCCATCGCTCGGCCGTCCATTCCCTGTGTTTTCTTCGGTTTCGTGCCTGGCTTTTTCGCCAAATAATCCAGGATGCTCCTCGATGGTCCTCACCGAAAGAAAAATGCACACGTCCGAGCGATGCCAAGCAAGAGGCACCAGAGGCAACCCTTCAGAGGACCCCGAGACGGGCTCGGGACCGCCCCGCGTATGGCCCCACCCAGGACGTGCGCCGCCCTGCTGTTTTCCGCGCGGCGCCCCCCAGAACTCCCGACCCCTTTTCCCGGGGCCGGCTTGTTCATCGGCTCGGACGGCCCTGGGGCCCAGGAGGGGGCCCCCGAAAAGCCGAGGATGGCGACAACAAGCCGCCCGTCCTGCCTCTCTTTTAGCGGCGCGAGCACGTCTGGGCTGACGGCCCACCACGGGCCCCACCGGGCCGAAGATGGCCCACCACGGGCCCACCACGGGCCCCACCTGGCCGAAGATGTCTGGGCTGACGGCCCACCACGGGCCCCACCTGGCCCAAGATGCCCCCACTGCGGCCCGCAGGGCGCCGCAGACGGCCCAGGAGGGACCCCGTGAGGCCCCGCAGAAGCTCCGGGACGGCTCCCAGAGAACCCCCCCACGAGAGACCACCCCCTCCTGGTGACGCTTCCTTGTGAAGCACCGCGCCCTGCGAACAGTGCGTCGGGGCCCAAGGCGTGCTCCTCCCAAACACCCAGGGGTCGGCGGATGTGGTGCAAGCCTGTGGAGCCAGCAATCACCTCATCACCGAGCCTCCAAGAAAAGCCGGCATCGACGGGGAGGTCGCGCGGCAGCGCGGCCGGAGACCTCGAGCGCGGGCGGGTCCGAGTTCAGCCGACGGCTGAACTCGGACCCGGAAAACTCGTATCCGGCTGACCTCGGGCCCGGCTGATCTCGGACCCGTTGAACTCGGACCCGACTGGTCTCGGACCCGGCTGAACTCGGACCCGGCTTCACTCGGGCTCGGCTGAACTCGGACCCGACTGAACTCGGACCCGGCTGATCTCGGACCCAGCTGAACTCGGACCCGGCTGAACTCGGGCCCAGGCGTTTCTGCTGCAGCGCGGGCCTCGGTCTGAGCTCACCTGGGACTGAATTCAGCTGGGTCCGAGTTCAGCTGTGTTCGAGTTCGGCTGGGTCCGACTTCAGCTGGGTCCGACTTCAGCTCGGTCCGAGTCCAGCTGGGTCCGAGTTTTCTGGGTCCGAGTTTTCTGGGTCCGACCTGGGTCGGAGTTCGGCTGGGTCTGAGTCCAGCCCGGGTCCGAGTTCAGCCCGGGTCCGAGTTCAGCTGGGTGCGAGTTCAATCGGTGTCCTTCCCGCCCCTCCCCATTCTGACGCTGCTCCCCCGATGCCTCCTCACCCTCTACTGCCACCAGGTCTACGCTCTTGAGAGCGCTGGACTTCAGAAGCGCTGGACTGCACTGCTCGGGAAACTCGTGGCACATACAACATGAGCGTGGGCCGCAGCAAAAAGTCCATCTATACAATCAGACGTCCAGGTGCCGGCGAGCGAACTTGAACGTCTTGTGCGCTTCTTTCCACGTGATGGCGGCAGCTGAGAAGTGACCAAGACCGACGACGAGTACGACTGCGGCTGATCAACGAAAACGAACCACTCGCCATCGCTCGGACGTCCATTCCCCGTGCATTGTTCGACTTCGCGCGTGTATTTCTTCGTGGGGTGACCCAAAATGCTCCTCGATGCTCCTCGATGGTCCTCGCTGAAACAAAATCACACGTCCGAGCGATGCCAAGACTGACAGAGCGACGGTGACGTTGACGGTGACGGTGTCCACAAGAGTGTCCACGCGAGGGGACTACGCGGGGCGGGGCTGGAGCGCCTAAAAAAGGGCAAGGAGTGCGTGCTGCTGGCAAGGGCCACGGGCACAGAAGAATGTTTCAAAACTCCTTCCACAACGGTATTGCGGCCACGTCGATCCACTCATCCCCTGAGATCCGACGCTGCGAAAAAGTCGCAACCACGCCCTGAACCCCATGCAGACCCATTCCTTCTGCCTCATTTTTGGAGCCCGATCGATCTGTCAGGGTCCCGGGGCCCGAGAAGAGGCGAATTCGCCCGGATCGAAAGAATTGAGTCGCCAGGATCTCAGGGCATGCTGGTTCACTCAGCTGTCGCGGCGGCAATCCCAGACCCCCGACGTCGCGATGTTTTCGCACAACGTCGACCCCCAGAGGTCCAAACCCCTTCCCGGGGACCGGTTTTTCAACCTGAATCGCTTTTGGCGGTGCCGAGGCCCGGGAAGGCCCCCCAGGGGCCGAACATACCGAAAAACCTCCCGTTGAGATTTTTCTCACGACGCCAGGGGGTCTGGGTCCAGGGACCGACAGAGCATATGAAGGCAGATGGTGATCAGGAGGATGACGATGAGGAGGAGGAGGAGGAGGAGGAGGAGGAGGAGGAGGAGGAGGAGGAGGAGGAGGAGGGAAGAGAAGCCCTAGTGGCCACCTTCCGCCAACGCGCCGCCGAGGCTCAGCCGATCGTGCGCGAGCGCCTGCGCCCTCGCCAGCCCTGCTCCAGAAAGACAAACTGTCGGGTTGGGAGGATGGGGTTGGGAGGATACGGGGCACGACCGTGCACTAAGCACGCTCGGCACGAGCGATACTGCGGATGATCTGATCACTTCTCCCGACCCCATCCTCCCCACCCGACAACCCCAGACATGCGGCGTCCTGACTTTTTCGGGCCAGCGTTCCCGGAAGTCGCGACCCTTTCTCTGGGGCCGGCTTTTCATCCTGAGTCGTTTCTGTTGCGGCCCCGAGGCCCGGCAAGGGCACCCCAGGGCCGAAAATAGCAGCGGCAACAACAACAAAAAGCCCGTCCTGCCTTGTCTTACGACGCGAGATTTGTCTTTCTGACTGGTGGCCACCCTCCGCCGACGCGCCGCCAAGGCTCAGCCGATAGTGCGCGGGCGCATGCCCACCCTCGCCGAAAGCGGCCTCACGGCGCCGCGGGGGCGGGCCCGACTGGGCGCCTCCTCTCGGCGGCGAGTCCCGGGGAGGAAGAGGAGGAGGAGGAGGAGGAGGTATCTCGCGCTGGAGAGAGAAAGGAGCAGGAGGCGGAGGAGGAGGAGGAGGAGGAGGAGTAGGAGGAGGAGGAGGAGCAGGAGGAGGAGGAGGAGGGGAGGAGGAGGGGAGGAGGGGGGGAGGAGGGGGAGGAGGGGGAGGAGGGGGAGGAGAAGGAGGACGGGAGGAGGAGGAGGAGGAGGAGGAGAGGAGGGAGGAGGAGGAGGAGGAGAGGGGGAGGGGAGGAGGCGGAGGAGGAGGAGGAGGAGGAGGAGGAAGAGGAGGAGGAGAGGAGGAGGAGGAGGAGGAGAAGAGGAGAAGGAGGGGGAGGAGGAGGGGGAGGAGGAGGAGGGGGAGGAGGGGGAGGAGGAAGGGGGAAGGGGGAGGAAAGAGAGGAGGAGGAGGAGGAGGAGGAGGAGGAGGAGAGGAGGAGGAGGAGAACGAGGAGGAGGAAGAGGAGGAGGGAGCAGGAGGGGAGGAAGAGGAGGAGGAGGAGGAGGAGGAGGAGGAGGAGGGAGGGAGGAGGAGGAGGAGGAGGAGGAGGAGGAGGGAGGAGGAGGAGGAGGAGGAGGAGGAGGAGGAGGAAGGAGGGAGGAGGAGGAGGAGGAGGAGGAGGAGGAGGAAGAGAGGAGGAGGAGGAGGAGGAGGAGGAGGAGGAGGAGGAGGAGGAGGAGGAGGAGGAGGAGGAGGAGGAGGGCGGGGGGAGAGGAGAGGAAGGAGGAGGAGGAGGAGGAGGAGGAGGAGGAGGAGGAGGAGAGGAGGAGGAGGAGGAGGAGGAGGAGGAGGAGGTGGAGGAGGAGGGAGGGGGAGGAGGGGAGGAGGAGAGGAGGAGGAGGGGAGGAGGAGGAGGAGGAGGAGGAGGAGAGGAGGAGGAGGAGGAGGAGGAGGAGGAAGAGGAGGAGGAGGAGCGGAGGAGGAGGAGGAGGAGGAGGAGGAGGGGGAGGGAGGAGGAGGAGGGAGGAGGGAGGAGGAGGAGGAGGAGGAGGAGGAGGAGGAGGACTCTTTGACGCTTTGATAGCGGACGCTGTCCTGGGGGGCGATTTAATCACTGGAATCGCTTCCATCCCCAGCCCGCACGGGCTGGGGTTCCTGGGCCTTGCCAGGCCTGGAGGGAGCCGCGCGGTCCAATAACCCCGCTCCCGTCTGGGCCCCCGAAGGCCCAGCAGCCTGGCCAGCCAGGTCGGATCCTGGGTTTTCCGATTGCGGACTCCTGAGCATGGCCGCCACGTCCGCGCAGGCGGCTTCTTCACGAGCCCTAATGGCCTCTAAAATTGCCCTCGGGGGGCCTTCACGACGCGGGAACAAACCTTTGCTTATCCTCGCTAGGTTCTCCGAACCCTTGTTGGTCCGTCCGTCACATCTGCCAACTAAATTCCCGGGGTCCACGGTGCAATAAGAACCGCACTCCGAACAAATGTGAAGGAACCATTTCTCCACATACTGGAGCCTGTGAGAGGGGTGAACCTTTTCCAGGAAGCCGCTCCCTCGGGCTGAGGGGGCGACCCTCTCTCCAACAGCGGCCTGGGAGCCTCTCCTGACTTCGGCAGGAGGCCCAGAACATGTCGTGGCCGCGAAGACCCGCGTTTGGTAGCGGGGAACAACTCTCTCACAGACCGTGCACCACCAGTATTTCATGCTGCGACCACATGGCTCGAGGATGTGGTCCGAGGCCTGTGCCGCAGCCACCAACTTGGACGGTCTGGACTCCTTCTTCAAAGGGGGTCTCTCCGCCCGAGTGTTTTCCTCGGCCTCCGCTGCACACGCCAGGGCACGTCTGGCCCTTCGACGAATCAACGAAGCTGTGGCATCAATTTTGTCCGTCTCAGGCTCCCGCCCCACCAGCCCCCTCCACGCCAACTCCGCCGCCTCCCCCGCCCACGAATCAGCACAGGCGTTGCCAGAGGCATACAAGAGTTTCTCGAGCGTGTCTAACTTCTCTGGGGCCTTCTCTTGGTGGGAGGGGAACCAAACAACTTCCACATCAAGATTCCTCCTGGCCTGGAAGGCAATGCGGGCCCTGGTCCAGAGGTCTTCGTTGGCACCCACAGGGTTGGGCCTTCGAAAGCGGGCCCTCCAGGTCCTGGAGATCGTCTTGTGATCAGTCACAAAAGTGAAACCCAGCTCTGAATCTACTTGCTCTAACCAGGCAGAATGCTAAAACTTCGGCTCGGGGGACCGTTTGCTTTTCTCCGAGCAGAGGAACCCCGAGAGCCTCCCCCAAGGTCCACCCGCCTCCCGAATCGATCACGAGCCCCACGATCGCTGCTCCGCAGCGTCTCCGTCTGGGGTCGTCAGAATATTTGCCCCCCGAGCCGTCACCGAAAACGTGAACTCTGCCTGACTCCGTGCATTCGGCGAAGCCGTGTGACTTAAAATCCAACTGCAGCTGGCCGAGGAGCGCTTCATCGAAATCAGGAGTGGTGAGCCCAACGGCTGGTACTCCCCGAAGCCAAAGAGCCGGAGGAGGAGGAGGAGGAAGAGGAGGAGTAGGAGGAGGAGGAGGAGGAGAAAGGAGGAGGAGGAGGAGGAGGAGGAGGAGGAGGAGGTATCTCGCGCGGGAGAAGAGAAAGTATCAGGGGAGGAGGAGGAGGAGGAGGAGAGGAGGAGGAGGGGGGGAGGAGGAGGAGGAGGAGGAGGGGGAGGAGGGGAGGAGGGGGAGGAGGGGGCGGAGGGAGGAGGAGGGGAGGAGGAGGAGGAGGCGGGGAGGGGCGGATTGAGGAGGTGAGGAGGGGGAGGGGGAGAAGGAGGAGGAGGAGGGAGGAGGAGGAGCAGGAGGAGGAGGAGGAGGAGGAGGAGGAGGAGGAGGAAGAAGAGGGAATGGAGGAGGAGGAGGAGGAGGAGGAAAGTATCTCTGACATCCGTGGATGAGAGAAAGGATAAGGAGGAGTAGGAGGAGGAGGAGGAGGAGGAGCGAGGGGGAGGGGGAGGAGGAGGAGGGGGGGAGGGGTTGGAGGGTGGGAGGAGGGGGAGGACGGGGGAGGCGGGAAAGGGGGAGGAGGAGGGGAGGAGAGGAGGAGGTATCTCGCGCTGGAGAGAAGAATGAGCAGGAGGAGGAGGGATGCGGAGGATGAGGTAGGAGGAACAGGGATGGGGAGAAGGAGAAGGAGGAGGAGGAGTAGGAGGATGAGGATGTGGAGGAGGAGGAGAGGAGGAGAGGCAGAGGGAGGAGGAGGAGGAGGAGGAGGAGAAGAGTAGGAGGAGGAGGAGGAGGAGGAGGAGCTGCGGAGGAGGAGGAGGAGGAGGAGGAGGAGGGGGGGAGGCGGGGCGAGGAGAGGAGGATGGCGGATGAGGCATGAGGGATGAGGATGCGGATGAGGAGGAGGAGGAGGAGAGGAGGAGGAGGAGGAGGAGGAGGAGAAGGAGAGGGGGGGGGGAGGGGAGAAGGCGGAGGGGGAGGAGGAGGAGGAGGAGGCGGAGAAGGAGGAGGAGGAGGAGGAGGAGGAGGAGGAGGAGGAGGGGGGTGTGGAGAAGGAGGAGGAGGAGCAGGAGGAGGAGGAGGCATCTCGCGCTGGAGAGAGAAAGGAGCAGGAGGAGGAGGAGGAGGAGGAGGAGGAGGAGGAGGAGGAACTGGGGAACTGGTGACGAGAAAGCGTCTGCTCACAGACACCACCCCACGGAAAGTGAAAGCCCCAGACGATCACTCACCCAGTGAGGGACTGCCCAGTCTTGGGGTGCTTGCCACGTTGCAGAGCACTGAGGACTGACCTCCTGCTCTTGGGCAAGTCCTTGGGGTCAGGGCAGGGGGAGCTGAAGGCCTTCCCCACCCTGACAGACCCGTAGGCCCCGCACCGCCGACACCAGACGACCGCACCCGTGGCGGCAACGTCGTGTCCCCCAGGCGCGTGACACCACTCCGCCACCGCAGGCTCCCCAGAGCCCGCGGCACACCCCAAGGGAGCCCCAGCCTCGCCCTCGCGGGCAGGCACAGGCCCCACACGCGCAGCCTCCTCAGAGGCCAAAGACGCCGAGCCCCCAGACCCAGCACCAGCGAAAGCCCCAGCCGAGCCCCCAGCAGCCCCAAGCCTCGCAGCAGCAGGAGCGGGCCCAGCCGAGGCCCCAACCACACGGGCACCCCCAGGGCCACTAGGCGCCCCCCCCCACACACACACACACACACACACACACACACACACACACACACACACACACACACACACACACACACACACACACACACACACACACACACACACACACACAGACCCCCAGCGGGCCGTCGGCGGCCTCGCAGTGGCACTGGCAGCAGCCTCGATCAGATTTGCCTGCATGCGAGAAATCGCAGAAGGCACGCACCGACGATCCGTGCCTCCCGTCAGTTGCCTGCGTGCCTCAGCGGTCTTCGCCGTTCGGCGGCAGCGACGGCACATGAGCTTCCCTCGAATTTCAATGAGGTCATGTTCGTGGATTAGCAGCGCCATCCTGGCTCCATCCGCCTTGGGCGCTCTGCTCGGGGCGGCCGACAGGACGGCCTTCTCAGCCCGCAGCTCTAACTGACAGCTTCTCTGGACCGCCCACGACAGATACTTGGCGCACTGGGCCGCCTCGGCCAGCGAGGCCTTATAGAACCTAGCATGGGCCTCAGGGAGCTTGACCGAGAGGGCTCCCAGCTTAGCGAACAAATCGGCCCAACTATCCCCCACGACCCAGAGGTAAGGAGGAGGCGGAGGGTCCTCGGGGGCGGGGAAGAGAACCGCATCCTCGGCCCTGTGGGAAGGGACCCATGCGAAGGCAGGCGGCGTTCTTTTCAGCGCCACCAGCTTGCGCCACACTGCAGGGCATGCACGGCTAGCGTCAGTCAGGGCCTCAGTCTCTCCCTGACCCCAAAGCTTGCCTTCCTGCACAAATTCCAGCAGGTCGGAAATCACACACTGGACCGAAGGCATGTGCTGTAGGGCCTTGAGGCCCGCCACACGCACTGCACGGCCCACTGTCTGCTGCGCGCCTGCGAGCCCGCCATACAGCGCACGAGTGGGGA